ATCTTGGAAATCGAGTACTACTTGTGTATGCAACACAAGTAGTAAAATAGACCAGACCGGACTTATTATTAATAATATTATTATATTTAACGGATGTTGAAAGTGATCAATCAGAGTTCTGAGGCCCAGAGGAAGGGCCGGACTTCTTTACCTGCTGATACAGTAGAAGGCCACGAGTCGACACAGGTCAGGGAAGCTGAGGGACGAGCTCTCTAAAGCAAAGGCTGTTAACAGAAGCAGATACACAAACATGGGTGGGATGAAGAATTTAAAATAAACTTTCATTTGAACGTGAATGGATGAAACACTAGAAAACCTAGATGTGAATGCACATAGACATGAGCAGGTGGACCATAGGGTTGCAGGATCCTGTATGTTTAAAAAGCCAAAAAAGGTTAAGTAAAATATATATTTTATACACAATAATTCCCATTACAGTTCTACAACATATTGCACAAACTATTTTTCTACCATATAGAATAGATATACAGCAAAAATGTTAGCTACCATACTTTCTGGGCTATTAAGCGCACCTGTATATAAGCTGCACCAGCAACATTAAAAAATAAACATACGTATTGGCCGCACTTGAATATAAGCCTCATGTGTTCATGTTGTAATGCAGCAGATGGACACAGAGGGTCAGCTTCACCGTTATCTTCCACCAGATTCACCAGTCTGTTTTGACAATAAATAAGTGTCCTTTAGCTCCTAAAACATCCAAAATAATAAGTCCATAAACTCTGCTCTGACAACTCTACCACAATAAAAATACACATATTAGCTGCATCGCTGTATAAGCCTCAGATTTCTTCTTTTGTCGTCAGACCAGAGTATAAACACACGTTTATACAAATGATGAAACAGAGGAATGAGACAATACTGTTTCGTCCTGACACAAGCCAACTTTGATAAACTATACTATATGTACTCAGAAAAAGAGAACATTTCCAACTTCTGTTTTTCTAATCTTTAGTGCGTTTTGTTTGCAAATAACTACTTTACATTTACAACTTGTGCACACACATTTCACACAAATAACAACACAATAAACAGTTATACAATGGCTAAGTGGACTGCAGGAGTAGAGTAATTCAGTTTTAATACTCTTGGTCCCCCTCACACACACACTACAGACAGTTTTAATACTCTTGGTCCCCCTCACACACACACACTGCAGACAGTTTTAATACTCTTGGTCCCCCGCACACACACACTACAGACAGTGTTAATACTCTTGGTCCCCCGCACACACACACTACAGACAGTGTTAATACTCTTGGTCCCCCGCACACACACTACAGACAGTGTTAATACTCTTGGTCCCCCACACACACACTACAGACAGTGTTAATACTCTTGGTCCCCCACACACACACACACTACAGACAGTTTTAATACTCTTGGTCCCCCACACACACACTACAGACAGTGTTAATACTCTTGGTCCCCCTCACACACACACACTACAGACAGTGTTAATACTCTTGGTCCCCCACACACACACACTCACTGGAGTCTTCCTCACAGATGAAGCACTCCTTCACAGATGCGGCGCTTCGGTCCGACGTCACTCTCAGACACAGCACTTTCCTTTGACTCGAGCTGCACTTACGCACTAGAAAGGTCTGCAACGAGAAGAGGAAGGCTCTCACTAAACATTTATGCGTCTGAAGTAAAAATATGAGCACATTTAAATGGTGATTGAATTTATTGAGTATGTCGTAATAAATACAATATCACATTATCACAGACCAACACTGTGACTCTATAAGTGCTTAAACCAGAACACGTTAAGACACACACTCATGTTGTCCTTAGCGAACCATTCCCTGACTGCTAACGTGTGAAATGCAGTGTGAATATTATTGTGGGCGACATATGGACCATCATCTCATATGTTACAGACAATAATACAGATTCATACTGTCTATCTGGCAGGTAAAGGCCGAGATCCTTTCCTGAGTAAAACTTATTCAACTGATTTTCCCTCACATAAATGCAATCACTTTGATATACTTCCATTACTATTTCAAGGCCTTTTCTGATTAATGTAAGTTTGTAATTTTATGAGACAATTACAGCTTTATTCATTGTTGGAAGTAATTTACATCCAATGGAATATTATGAATACAAATGTCCCAATGAATATTAAACTATTGATAGTCACGTTTCTAAGTCCAACACCTTGGACTATGGAAAAAAATACTTCCATGGTGTAACAGTGGATTTTATCATCTGTTTAAAGGGACCATATGTTCCCAGAGAACAGGTCACATGTACAAACCATATTGTCCATTTAGAGCAAAATACCAAAATACACTAATAAATAACAACACCACAGATTGTTTTACAAAGTAAGTAATCAGAGTTTGTACAGTTTATAGCTAAACCCCAGCAGGTGGTTTGCATCAGTAATCAGTGATTAGCGACATGCGTCTCAGGCAGAAAGATTCTTCCTGCCATGATAATAATGTAATGTTTGTAGTCTAATGTATTACATACTGCTCCTTTAATCATAAAAAGCACTGCTATAGAAGGAGGAGTGTTGTTTCTGACCCCCACAGGCTCCCGTAGCAGGATGTAGACGGCTGAGTCCTGGTTGAGCGCCAGCTGCAGCCACACGGGGTGAGTGAGGAGCAGTCGGTCCAGGACACTGAAGACCCTGAGAGAGGGCCGCGAGCTGCCCCCCTCCTGCATCTGACAACACACAAACACACACAGACACACACAGACACACACAGACACACAGCATGTAAACACACAGGGGAGAGTAAAGACTTACAGGCCCCATTTCCACCAGCCCTGCTCGGCTCTATCTCCTCTACTCGCATCTGCTCCACTCCGATTGGGGGAGTTCAGTACCTGCTCGGCCCTGGTTCTGACCCGGTTCTTGTGACGCACTTTGATTTGCCTTGTACACGAAGAGCACTATACAAATACATGTTGATTGACTGATTGTATAATGGTGCTTTCAGACTGGATCATGCTGCGGCGGGTTTCAATGCAAAGTCTATGGTGGCGCGCGTTCGACCGTCACAACACACGGACCTCTCGGTTCGCACGAACGGACTGTTCTGTAGAGACGCACGGACTGTTCAGTAGAGACGCACGGACTGTTCAGTAGAGACGCACGGACTGTTCAGTAGAGACGCACGGACTGTTCAGTAGAGACGCACGGACTGTTCAGTAGAGACGCACGGACTGTTCAGTGGAGACGCACGGACTGTTCAGTAGAGACGCACGGACTGTTCAGTAGAGACGCACGGACTGTTCAGTAGAGACGCACGGACTGTTCAGTAGAGACGCACGGACTGTTCAGTAGAGACGCACGGACTGTTCAGTGAGACGCACGGACTGTTCAGTGGAGACGCACGGACTGTTCAGTAGAGACGCACGGACTGTTCAGTAGAGACGCACGGACTGTTCAGTAGAGACGCACGGACTGTTCAGTAGAGACGCACGGACTGTTCAGTAGAGACGCACGGACTGTTCAGTAGAGACGCACGGACTGTTCAGTAGAGACGCACGGACTGTTCGTAGACACGGACTAGAGACGCACGGACTGTTCAGTAGAGACGCACGGACTGTTCAGTGGAGACGCACGGACTGTTCAGTGGAGACGCACGGACTGTTCAGTAGAGACGCACGGACTGTTCAGTAGAGACGCACGGACTGTTCAGTAGAGACGCACGGACTGTTCAGTAGAGACGCACGGACTGTTCAGTAGAGACGCACGGACTGTTCAGTAGAGACGCACGGACTGTTCAGTAGAGACGCACGGACTGTTCAGTAGAGACGCACGGACTGTTCAGTGGAGACACACGGACTGTTCAGTAGAGACACACGGACTGCTCTGTAGAGACGCACGGACTGTTCAGTAGAGACGGACGGACTGTTCAGTAGAGACGCACGGACTGCTCTGTAGAGACGCACGGACTGTTCAGTAGAGACGCACGGACTGTTCAGTAGAGACGCACGGACTGCTCTGTAGAGACGCACGGACTGCTCTGTAGAGACGCACGGACTGTTCAGTAGAGACGCACGGACTGTTCAGTAGAGACGCACGGACTGTTCAGTAGAGACGCACGGACTGCTCTGTAGAGACGCACGGACTGTTCAGTAGAGACGGACGGACTGTTCAGTAGAGACGCACGGACTGTTCAGTAGAGACGCACGGACTGCTCTGTAGAGACGCACGGACTGCTCTGTAGAGACGCACGGACTGTTCAGTAGAGACGCACGGACTGCTCTGTAGAGACGCACGGACTGTTCAGTAGAGACGCACGGACTGTTCAGTAGAGACGGACGGACTGTTCAGTAGAGACGCACGGACTGTTCAGTAGAGACGCACGGACTGCTCTGTAGAGACGCACGGACTGCTCTGTAGAGACGCACGGACTGTTCAGTAGAGACGCACGGACTGTTCAGTAGAGACGCACGGACTGTTCAGTAGAGACGCACGGACTGTTCAGTAGAGACGCACGGACTGTTCAGTAGAGACGCACGGACTGTTCAGTAGAGACGCACGGACTGTTCAGTAGAGACGCACGGACTGTTCAGTGGAGACACACGGACTGTTCAGTAGAGACGCACGGACTGTTCAGTAGAGACGCACGGACTGTTCAGTAGAGACGCACGGACTGTTCAGTAGAGACGCACGGACTTGGCGGGAAAGTGAAAGGGGAGGAGCAGGAGCAAAAAATCGACGCCCACAGGAGATGGATTCTGCTCATCCTTTCCTTGGGACGTTCGTGCGACAACCAATCAGAGAGCTGTAAAGTGGTCACGGGGACATTAGCGGACTGAGCGAGCAGACTGAACATACTGTAAACAGCCAAAACAGGACCCACACCAGACTTCACCAGAACTCAAACCAGGGCTGACAATGGGGGACTCTGTGCTTGTGAAAATATGGGTTGTCATCATGCTCCTGTGACCTTATGCAACGGCTTCAAGTGTGTTCATACTACTGTTATATAAAGTCACCTCCGTGAACACATACTGCTGTTATATAAAGTCACCTCCGTGAACACATACTGCTGTTATATAAAGTCACCTCCGTGAACACATACTGCTGTTATATAAAGTCACCTCCTTGAATACATACTGCTGTTATATAAAGTCACCTCCGTGAACACATACTGCTGTTATATAAAGTCACCTCCGTGAACACATACTGCTGTTATATAAAGTCACCTCCGTGAACACATACTGCTGTTATATAAAGTCACTGTGAACACATACTGCTGTTATATAAAGTCACCTCCGTGAACACATACTACTGTTATATAAAGTCACCTCCGTGAACACATACTGCTGTTATATAAAGTCACCTCCGTGAACACATACTGCTGTTATATAAAGTCACTGTGAACACATACTGCTGTTATATAAAGTCACCTCCGTGAACACATACTACTGTTATATAAAGTCACCTCCGTGAACACATACTGCTGTTATATAAAGTCACCTCCGTGAACACATACTGCTGTTATATAAAGTCACTGTGAACACATACTGCTGTTATATAAAGTCACCTCCGTGAACACATACTACTGTTATATAAAGTCACCTCCGTGAACACATACTGCTGTTATATAAAGTCACCTCCGTGAACACATACTGCTGTTATATAAAGTCACCTCCGTGAACACATACTGCTGTTATATAAAGTCACCTCCGTGAACACATACTGCTGTTATATAAAGTCACCTCCGTGAACACATACTACTGTTATATAAAGTCACCTCCGTGAACACATACTGCTGTTATATAAAGTCACCGTGAACACATACTACTGTTATATAAAGTCACCTCCGTGAACACATACTGCTGTTATATAAAGTCACCTCCGTGAACACATACTGCTGTTATATAAAGTCCCCTCCGTGAACACATACTGCTGTTATATAAAGTCACCTCCTTGAATACATACTGCTGTTATATAAAGTCACCTCCGTGAACACATACTGCTGTTATATAAAGTCACCTCCGTGAACACATACTGCTGTTATATAAAGTCACCTCCGTGAACACATACTACTGTTATATAAAGTCACCTCCGTGAACACATACTGCTGTTATATAAAGTCACCTCCGTGAACACATACTACTGTTATATAAAGTCACCTCCGTGAACACATACTACTGTTATATAAAGTCACCTCCGTGAACACATACTGCTGTTATATAAAGTCACCTCCGTGAACACATACTGCTGTTATATAAAGTCACCTCCGTGAACACATACTGCTGTTATATAAAGTCACCTCCGTGAACACATACTGCTGTTATATAAAGTCACCTCCGTGAACACATACTGCTGTTATATAAAGTCACCTCCGTGAACACATACTGCTGTTATATAAAGTCACCGTGAACACATACTACTGTTATATAAAGTCACCTCCGTGAACACATACTGCTGTTATATAAAGTCACCTCCGTGAACACATACTGCTGTTATATAAAGTCACCTCCGTGAACACATACTGCTGTTATATAAAGTCACCTCCTTGAATACATACTGCTGTTATATAAAGTCACCTCCGTGAACACATACTGCTGTTATATAAAGTCACCTCCGTGAACACATACTGCTGTTATATAAAGTCACCTCCGTGAACACATACTGCTGTTATATAAAGTCACTGTGAACACATACTGCTGTTATATAAAGTCACCTCCGTGAACACATACTGCTGTTATATAAAGTCACCTCCGTGAACACATACTGCTGTTATATAAAGTCACTGTGAACACATACTGCTGTTATATAAAGTCACCTCCGTGAACACATACTACTGTTATATAAAGTCACCTCCGTGAACACATACTGCTGTTATATAAAGTCACCTCCGTGAACACATACTGCTGTTATATAAAGTCACTGTGAACACATACTGCTGTTATATAAAGTCACCTCCGTGAACACATACTACTGTTATATAAAGTCACCTCCGTGAACATACTGCTGTTATATAAAGTCACCTCCGTGAACACATACTGCTGTTATATAAAGTCACTGTGAACACATACTGCTGTTATATAAAGTCACCTCCGTGAACACATACTACTGTTATATAAAGTCACCTCCGTGAACACATACTGCTGTTATATAAAGTCACCTCCGTGAACACATACTGCTGTTATATAAAGTCACTGTGAACACATACTGCTGTTATATAAAGTCACCTCCGTGAACACATACTGCTGTTATATAAAGTCACCTCCGTGAACACATACTACTGTTATATAAAGTCACCTCCGTGAACACATACTGCTGTTATATAAAGTCACCTCCGTGAACACATACTACTGTTATATAAAGTCACCTCCGTGAACACATACTACTGTTATATAAAGTCACCTCCGTGAACACATACTGCTGTTATATAAAGTCACCTCCGTGAACACATACTGCTGTTATATAAAGTCACCTCCGTGAACACATACTGCTGTTATATAAAGTTACCTCCGTGAACACATACTGCTGTTATATAAAGTCACCGTGAACACATACTACTGTTATATAAAGTCACCTCCGTGAACACATACTGCTGTTATATAAAGTCACCTCCGTGAACACATACTGCTGTTACATAAAGTCACCTCCGTGAACACATACTGCTGTTATATAAAGTCACCTCCTTGAATACATACTGCTGTTATATAAAGTCACCTCCGTGAACACATACTGCTGTTATATAAAGTCACCTCCGTGAACACATACTGCTGTTATATAAAGTCACCTCCGTGAACACATACTGCTGTTATATAAAGTCACTGTGAACACATACTGCTGTTATATAAAGTCACCTCCGTGAACACA